ATACTTAGAACTAGATTAAGGAAAAGCTATAAACTCAAATACTTTTATTTAGAAATAAAATTAATTTAAAGATTATTTATAATTTATAGCTTATAATAATACTTTATAAAATCGGCTTATTTAATTCAGAATTTGGCTCTAAAAATGAAGTATATATTAAAGGCTTTTCTGAAATATATATTCTTATTAAAAGTATAATTTCTTTAAAAAAAGATATTTTCTTAAAGGCTTTACTAATAGCCTTTATTATAGTTATTTCTATAAAAGTATTATTAGAAGCTCTTACTAAATATAATAGCTTATAACTTATTATTAGTATAGCTATTCTTTTGGAAGTTATATATATAGTTACGAAATACGGAATATAGGATATAGATAATAAAATATAGATAATAAGATATAAGATACGGGATATAGTTATATAATCTCGCATCCTATTAGTAATTCGACTAGTAGACTAGACCCCTTTAGGCTTAGCAGATTTAGGGATTATATATTAATACTATAATACTATAATCTCTATTTCTGAATAATAATAACTTTACTAACTATATATAAATAGTATTCTATAACTTATATAATAGTACTATATATTACTAGTAAACTAATACTTATAAATAAGATTTTATAAAATAATTATATATTACTAGATCTAGAAAAGCTATATATAATAGCCTAAGCTAAAAGTAATATTTGAATATTATAAAATAGCCTCCTTTTATACTATAAAAGACTTTATATTATAAAGAATAAAATAATTCTCGAACTACTTTTATAAATTATTCTAATTTATAAAATATATAATAAACTCTTTTCTAAATATCCTAGATATATAAAGCTTTATTAATTACTTAAAGAATAATATTACTAGCTATTTATAAATAAGAATATTAATTAATACTATAATAATTATTATACTTATAAGAAATTATATATATTAAGAAATAAGAAATCTAATTTACTTTATTTCTTTTTAGTTTCTAATTACTTCTAATAATATATTATTATAAATTTTAAGAGCTATTTAGAAAGCAAATCGGGTTATAATATAATTACTATATTCGTGAATTACTTATTTAAGTATCTAATTACAATTCCCGTATAAGATATAATTATAGCTAAATAGCTAGTACTTTTATTTTTACTTTATATAATATATTAAGTAAATATTCTAGAAATAATTATATTAGATTAGGAACCCTAATTTATATTTGATTTTTAAAGCGAATTTTATATAAGAATTAGTATTAAGCTTAAGTTCTTAATAACTAATTACCTTTAAATAAATAAATAAACGAAGATTATTAATTAGTATTTTAATTAAAGATTATATTTATATATTAATTATTACTAAAATAATTAAAATAAATAGGTTATTATAATTAATTATTAATAGCTTTCTTTTAGTATAAAACTATTAACTAGTTTCTATTTATAACTAAAAAGGGCTATAAGCCTTATATTTCTTTAAACTAGAACTCTCTTATTAAAGCTAGCTCTTTTAAGGAAAAGCTAAATAAAAATAAAGCTAAAGTATTAGTAAATTAATTATATGAATTATAGTAATTTACCTAAGGTTATATAAAGCAAATATAGAAATAGTATATAATATAAGCTAATAAATATTATTATTTAATTAATTTTAAAGTCGGGAATAAAATATAAGTTATTATAAAGTATTAGAAATCTAATTATTCGAATTAGAAGCTAGAAAACTAAATAAAGAGTTTATTTGAGATTCTAGAAAAGTATAACTACTTGTTTTTCCTAAAGTTACCGGAAATTATAAAAAAGCTATAAAAGAATTCTTAGTATTTTTTACTAAATTAAGTAAATCCGGAACTACTCTTATTAATACTAGAGAATAATAAATAAAAGTATGGTATTAAACGGGTTATTATAGTTAAGCTAGTAAGAAATAAGCTAAAGTATAAAATCTAATAAATTAATTATAATAAGAATCTAGTATAATATCTAGCTTTAATATTAAATAATAGCTCTCTGATTTTATAGAGCTTTTATAATAATAATATTAATATATTAGAACCTTTATAAAACCTATAATACTAACTAAACTATATAAAAAACAATATTTATTTGGAATTATATAAAAATAATAATAAATTCTTTTAAGTTATATATTAAAGGTACTAGCCTTTTATATATAATATTTATATCCGAAATACTAGTTTATTTTAGAAAGGAAAATAATACGAAATTAAATGAATTAATAGCTTTTATAAAGCTCGGGAATAAGCTTATTTTAAAAGAAAAAGTAATATTATAATTTATTAAATACTCAAATATCTTTTAAATATACGTAATACAGCCGCCTTATTAGGGAAATATACTTGAAATATACTAGAAATATTTAGACGACTAAGCCTTTTTAGAACTAGTATATTATAGGATATATATATTCTTTTATAATTTCTTATATTCTAGTTTTCTTTTTTTAGCTTTAAATTATTTTTATAAGAGGCCTTTTACCTTGCTTTTTAAGCCCTAAATGCCGTACTCGTAATATTAACTTATAATTAGCTATAATAATAAAAACGTTTATAATTTATATAAATATTTTAGTAAATATATTATATAAAAGATTATAAAAGCAAATATAATATTTATAAATATAAATATTATATTTATATTTTAGATATAAAAAAAGCTAATTACTAAAGTTAATTTTAAATATAGGCTTAATTAGATTATAATATAGTAATATATATAACTACTTAATTTAAAGTAACTAGATAAATTATATAAAATAAAATAAAAAAGCTTTTAAGAATTATATAAAGGAAAAAGCAAATTAAGAAAGATAAAAAAGCTTAGAAAAAATAAAAGTATAAGAAAAAAAAACAGGCTATTTAGGTATTATTTATAAATAATAAAAAGCTAGCTAAAAAGGAAATTAGAAAATAGTTAAGTTAACTAAAATACTAAAGAAATTAACTAAAAAGTTAATATCTAATATATTTATAATTTAGATATTAGATATAAAGATATTAGTATTAGTAATTCTAATTAAACTATTTGTTTTAAAAATCTCTTAACTTGAGATATTATTAACTTTTCTATAAAAAACTAATAAGCTTTTATTAAGTAATTTAATTATTATTTTTTCTTAAATATTATTAATTATATTAGTCTAGCAAATTCTAGTTAATAAAAGCAATAATAATAATAATCCTAATTTTTTTTTTACTAGAATAATAAATAATATCTATTATTACTAAAATCTAGTTCTTAATTATAAATTATTCTAAAATATTTCTTTTTAAGCCTAAAAATAAAATAACTAATCTTAATCTAAATAATAATAATTCTTACTTTAATTTATCTAATATTAATACTTTATATATTAATCTAAAGAAATATAAGAATTATATAAAGTATTTATTTAAAAAAGAAAAATTTAATAATAAGACTAGTATAAAACAAGTTTTAAAAATAATAAAGATAATAAGATTAATATAGAAGCTATTTAGAACTAGATAGTAAATATAGAAAATAATTAATTTCAGGAAAGCAAGAAAGATTCTAATTCGGATATTTAAGAATATTGGAAAAAGAATAATAAAATAAAAGCAAAAATTAATATATTTGGAATTAAGAATAAATAATTAGATTATATTATTCTATTAAGTAGCTTTAAAAAGAGAAATACATAAAAGAATAATAGTAATTGAGTTAGTATAAAACTCAGAAATAAAAAATAGAGAATAAATAAAAAGAAGAAATTAGTTTATATAATATAAAAAGTAATAGGTTACTAGTAAATAAATAGTAAATAAAAAGGGAAGATTAGTATATAGGGCACAGAAATACCATATATAATTAGCTCTTAGCTCTTTTCTCTTCTCTTTTATAGATATATAATAGAGACCCTAGTTACTTGTTCTGGAATAGAACTATAAAAGGGAAAATTTGCTTAAGCCTCAAGTACATGTTTTGCTTAATTATGGCACTAAGAAGTATTTAGCCTTGCTCCCAAGCTTCTACTAGCTTTATGCTTCTCTTCTGGAATTAATCATAATTCTAGAAATCTCTTGTGTTTATATGTAACATGAATTTGACCTGGTAATTCGTTGACCTGGTACATGGTTCACTTCTGCCTATTTCTTCTGAGATCTTCAGAGTACTGTGCACGTGACTTCGCTGATTAGAAAAATCCGAACTATCCCACTAACTCTACCAGAGAGTTAAAAATGTTTATGCAAACCGTGTAAAGAGACTCAAAGTCGTACATACAAACTTTTGTCCGATTACTCAATTAAGCCACTGGCATCTTCTAACCATCTAAACAGCGGCGCTGTCCGGAAAGCCGGAACAACTTCGAGCCCAAGCGAAACCAGATTTCATAATTCACTCCACGAAAAAGTCAAGCACTAGATTTTTAGCACCGTGGCCCTATAATTTAGTGATTAGAAGCCTATAAATAAAAAATATAGTGCTCACGCACGACTCTCGCTCTCCTCTCAACTCTCTCCCCTCGCTTTCCACTTCTCGCTTTTCAGTATTTCACTTTCGATTTTTAACTTATGCCGCCGCCCTCCCCCCTCTCCATCTCGTATCCTATCCTTACATATATAAGAATTGAGGAGAGAGTAAAGATTTTAAGTAACAGCAGATGCTTGGAGAAGGGGCGTGGGCGATTTTGGGTGGAGTGAAGCATGAAAACCCGGTTTCGTGCAGCAAAGAGCTTGGCATACCTCTCTTTCAGTCTTTCATCCCCAGATAGACGTCCAGAACAGTGTTTCGCCGCTTCTATTGCGGAAGCTGGACTTTTTGTTGCCGGAATTAAGATTCTGCCCCAAGCCTCCAATCTTCAGCTGCCGCAGAGCACTTGACCTGCATATCTCGCGAAATAGCTGCAAAAGTATTTTCTCTAATAACCTACCCTCACAGCCTACAAAACGTCTTGCGTGAAATCCGCCAATTGCTAGTCAAGGTGCGCAAAATAAGAAATATTGTTAACTTTTACAATATGTACAATGATTTTATTTATGTCTTTTCCTATTCTAGTGCATAGATACAATAAACGAGCGAACAGGTAGAGGACATGATTAGTAAGGCACGAGGTGCGCCGATACTTCAATATGGATTTGGACAGGACTCAAGCAAAGCCGGTGCTAATCACCCAGCTCACGTCGTCGTTGAATGAGGTAGCAGCGTCGAACGTGTGAACGCCTCCGTTGCTCGCGATATAGCCCACGTTGCTGTAGTGGCGGAAATAGCGGGTGGGATAGCTCCAAGATCGAATCGAGTTGCCCTGGCCGTTGAGGCCGGCCTGCGGGCAGAACGTGGCGTCCTCGTGGAACTGCTTGGAGCCGTCGTTGGCGTTGACCAGGAGCGCGAAGTTGTAGTGCCGGATGTAGCTCCCGGCGGTGTCCACGGACTCGAACGAGAAGCAGGCGCTGTTTCCCAGGCCGGCGCGGACGGTCCAGCTGGCCTGCTGTTTGAGGGCGGTGGTGCTGGACGACGAGACGACCTGGGTGTTGACGGTGGACCCGGTGTGTGCGAGGTAGCGGGTCGTGCAACAGGCCGTGGTGGCCCGCAGCGAGATCGAGGAACCCACAGTGAGGGCCGGGCCGCTGGTCAAGGCCGTCGTGGCGTATTTGGCGGCGACAATGTTGGCCTGCACCGCGTTCTCGGTGGCATCGGATGGGTAGCCGGAGGTCATCACGCCCTCGTAGAACGTGCCCTGCGCGCTGACGCTGTTGTCGCCGCCGATGCCGAGAATGATGGCGCCCTCTTTGCTCATCGGGTTGTAGCCAGACACACTTGGGCGCACGCCGCTGTAGTACGTCGACAGCGCGCCGGACGCAGCATTGGCGCCTCGGATCGCCCACTGGTTGGGCTCCCCCTTGACAGCTGCAGTCACAAAGCGGTAGGAGATCGACGGGTCCCCCGCGTTGTTGCCAGCGCTGAGGCCAGAGAACAGGCCGTTCTCCAGATCGGCCATGACCCAAGGGCCGCTGCCGGAGCCAGAGCCCCAGCTGGTGCTGTCGCCAAAGTAGATGGCCTCCATGTGGCCGTTGCCCGTATCATGACTGTTCGTCTCGGCGTTGCCATAGTCGAAGCAGCAGCCGCCATTGTAGTGAGTCCCGTCGAGGACCGCGTACATGCCCTCCGCCGCGTCGCCGGTAGCTGTGCCGCTTGCAGCATTGTTGCGGTAGCCGGTGCCAGGCGATATAAAGACGCCGTACGCCTTCTGGCCGTTCAGCGTGACCGGTGCCCCAATCGCACTGGCCAGATTGTCGTAGCCATTGGATTCCGGGCCGCTGAAGCCTCCGGGCGGCGCCTGGGTGAGGTGATTACCGCGGCCGGACTGGTCGTAAATAATCGTAATTAGACAGGTCGTGCTGGCGCAGAAGGTGTCTTGGGCGGCGGCATTGGCAACACCACCCGCGGACAGTGGCGCGATGTTGGTCGTGGTATTGTCGGAGCCACGTTTCACCTGATAGAGTGAGCCTGCATAGGCGCTGTACAGGGCGCGAGTGGTGCTGTGCGCGGCAATGCAGGGCGTGCCCCCGGAAGAGAAGAGGTCGCAGGGTCCAGCAGCAACAAGGGAGCCCGTAGCGACAAGGCTGAGAGCGAGTACGCAGGTGCGTTCGACGTTTGATCTCGAGAACATGTTTGATCACTTTTGGGGGAGGAACGGTGGGATCGGGCACGACTGTGAGCGTTTTGCTCTTCGACAAGAAGCAGAACGGCTACATCGTAGCTTTTAAAGCCGCGAGGTGTCTGGCCTGTCTGGTTCCCATCTTCTAGAGCAGTGAGGATTTTCCTCCAATAATTATAGACAGAGTATATGTGCTAATGCTACAGTACATTGGCAGCCTTCCTCCCTTCGAAATCAACACAACACACGATCCTCATCATCGTGCGCATGACTTTCCGGGCGGCGCGGCCATTGGAGCGTGTGGACTAGATGTTGATAAAGGCCTGCGATTGGAGCGCGTGAACGGACTTCAGGTGCAGTATTTATCTCCACTTGGTCAAAAACGTTTTATGGTGGAAGAAGAAGGTTTTCATTCGTGGAGGTCGATCCAGGGCAATGCACCCCGCAGCGCTATATCCAGGAACGGCAGCCCCTCCGGATCGCGGGGATCGTGAAGCTAGAAGGTAGCGTACGAAAATGTGGCCGCCTGCACTGTCAATTGGTTAAACAGTTGTGATCGACCTGGAGAACTACGGAACCTACCACAGCGCTCATGCACTCTGCGGAGACTGCAAGTAACGGGGCATCAAGGTGTAATAGCAGTCCGCGAGTCATCTAAGGCGTTAGCAACACACTTGTGTGGCTATATCTTTGCCGGCAGTCTACTTCCTTAATGCGGGGAATCTTTTTTGTCTCCCCACAATAATGTGCTGCTCCCCTGAACAAATATGGCGGGAAGGGCGATAGCCTTCGGGCTCAGCTTCGATGATAGAAACACCCTCCTTCCGAAGTAGAATACATCAGACGACCTCCAAACCCTGCAGACCGCATCCTCCAATCGAAAAGATGATACTTCCCGTTGAGATTCTTGAACCTTTCATGTTAATGGAAGCTAGTGGGTGGTTTCCACGAATCGGCGAACTCTTAGTGCTCATCTCAAATTCACAAACCCCTCTCTTACGGGGGGTTGTTGTCCGCCCCGTTCATTCCTCTCCGTCAGCATTCATCATACCCCTTGTACAATGTCTCGGACTTTGAAGTCTATCTTGTTCACTGCCCTCGTGGCAGCGGCTACTATTCGAGCTTATTCTGATCCTGGTGCTTGCTCTGGCTGTTGTTGGTCACAAGACCTAGCTATTATTTAGCGGGCGAGCGATGGCCTATTTCAATTTCAATACCGAGGGGCCAGACGGCGAGATTCGTCATTTGATTTGTCCGAGGGACGAGGGTATAGTGGAGGCTGAAGGGAGACGAGGAGTTGGCAACACATTCGATGTATGTTGATTGAAAAGGTCTGCATATATATTCCTAGGAGTTGGAAAACAAGGCAGGGACGCCAATAAAGGTAGCTGGAGTTCGAAGGGACCACGGATGGAACAAGCAAAATTGGCTATTGCCCATTTCTAAGCTGTTGTTTAAACTAGCCAGGCCTAGTCGGAGGAAGTTATGGATTTCAGCAGTGATATGATGGCTCTGAAGAAACCGGTCTTGAAGATGATTATCTACCGCTGCACAGATGACCAAGTCAGTCAGTTGAGACACGCTGCTTCAATGTCTTTGCTCACATAAATATCAATGATTCAAGCCATTTGCGGCACTTAAATCTTCAGCACTTTGCCCTTCTATATTCCAGCTCATAGGTGGCGTTCACAAAAAGTAATTTCATTGGGCCCAGGACTTTCGTAAGCCCAAACATCAATTCTCGCAAATCCAGAATACTGCGGGTCACATTTTGAACCATACATGATCTAGTACCTCTATAGCACTGAACCGCTCCCTAAGATCATACTTGAAGATATTCTCAAGAAGATCAGCGAATATCTCAATCTGATTCTCTGGTATATCCCGATAAATGTGGTTTTCAGGCCCAAATTTCGTATACAAAAGTCCAAGGAAAAGTGCGTCTCGAATTAAACGAGGTTCTTGAGTAACTTGATATTCAGGTTGACCCGTAAGACGTTGAGTCTCCACACTAATTTCAACCGGCTTTATAGCCCGGCCGTCAGAGTCAGTTGCATCCTCGAAAGAATTCCCGTGCGCCTCCCACGAGGACCACCCCGCTCCGGAAGCTTCCAAAGCAGGAGTACCATCAGGTATAGATACTGATTTATACTATCGTCGAACGTATCGAACAATTTCCTGCCCGTTCGAATCTTGAAGATTGTACATCATCACGCTCGCTCAGAGATCACTTCGTACTCCAGCGATTTTGTCGAAGACTAGTTCTGGTGAGCGGTAACTTTGGTGAGTAGCGAGGTCTGGTAAGGGTTTAGATATATCAGCCGGCAGGTTTGTAAGTAATCAAAAGAAATGCTAACTTCCATGACTCACTCCGTGGCTGTGAAAGGGGAACATGCCTTGTATAGCATGGTGAGCAATCTCTCGCCTTGCTATTAAAACCGCACTATCTATTTAAACCATCTAGTTAGCTATATCTCACTTGGCCTGTCTTTGTGTTTCTTTCATTTTATTTGAACAGTCTCCCTGTTCTGGACATATAATGCTAGTTAAAACGAGAAAAACTAAAACGACCACTGCCTTCCCGGGTGTCGATTAGGGATGTCGACAACTTGTAATTAGTTATCTAAACTCTTTAAAAACCTTGAGTTACATTTTTTAATATAAATATAAGTTAGTATATTATTGCAGTGAGATTACTTGTTTAGGCCTAATATAGTAGGGATTGGGCTGAAATTTGGTATAAGTACATGTTCTCACGTAATAGTCGGACTTAATGTCGCGACTAAAAGAGGCCCTTCCTTTTAGTCGGGGAAAGCGAGTTGGCCCGCACCAAACCGAAATTACTATACGACTGTAATGGGCACACGTGATGGCGCATGGACAGGTATCAGATATTATAGATCTAGTTTCCTATTTTGGGTAAAGCTTGCGATCGGAATTATACGGATTGCATGGGATCACATTTCCTGATTAAGTAAAGGGCTTCGCATGCTTGGCTAAGTACTAGGGAATATATAGGAAGACGCTTCTAGCTTTGGAAAGGGGTATTAATTAGTCTTTTACTAGAATTAATTCTTGGAATCAATTACACTTGCAACCGTCACTCTATAGCTTATTTACCTTAATTACTTATATATTATTCTGCTATTATATGCCTTATATTCTAATTAATCCAACTTTCGGGAAGTAGTTTATTATAGGATAGTCAAGTAGTTAATAGACAAAATTATTAATGGCTAGTATTACGATTCCCAGATGCCCGGTATCTGAGATGCCTCGCCAGATACCAGATACCTCCTAGGCGCACGTAACGCGGCCGCCTCGCTAGGGAAGTATGCTTGGAATACACTAGAGATATTTAGAAGGCTAAGCCCCTTCGGGACTAGCGTACTATGGGGTACATATACTCCCTCGCAGCCTCCTGTATTCTAGTTTTCCCTTCCTTAGCTTTGAATTGTCTTTGTAAGGGACCTTCTATCTTGCTTTCCAAGTCCTGAATACCATACCCGTAATAGTATTTAAAGCTTACTTTCTTTAATCTTATAGAGGATTTTAAATAAACTAATTCAGAACTATTAGTAATATAGGCACTGCCAAGATAACGGAACCTCAGAAATACAAGTAATAGACTCCAGAATAACAAAAGCAAAAAGCTTTAGAACCATTAGAGAAATCAGGTATTTATACCTTTATAAATATATACTAGTAGTATATTAGAAACCCTTCCAAAAACCCGAAAATCAAAAAACCTCAAATAAAGGCTACTCTTTAATTAAGTTCTAGAGTAATAGGCATATACAGGCCAGTAACCTAACTACTACCTTTAAGCCCTATCCTATAACCTTATAGGCCCTATATATATACTAGTAACGAGATTACTAGAGAGAATATAATAGAGAAAAAGTATAATAGATTAATTTCCTAGGATATTATATAACCAGGAACTATATTAACTTCTACTAAGGCTTCTGGTAAAGCTCTTACTAGTTTAGGTTATCCCGTTAGTAGCCTTTCCCGAACCGAATATCCTATTAGTATTCCTAGAGAATTTATAAATAAGTCTATAGAAATAGAATCCTCTATTTTTATTATAAAGTTTCTAGAGACTAAAGATTATATTATTACTAGAAAGTTATATAAATAAACCAAGAAATCTAATATCTTATTCTTAGATATTATTATAAAGAGCTATTAGAAAAATATCTAAAAAGCTATTTTATATAAGAATACCTATAGTTATAATAAAGCTATTTTCGAGAATATTAAACTTTATAATACTAAGCTCAAGAATAATATTAAATACTATATAGCTATAGTAAATTAGCTTATAGTAGCTCTAACTATTTTTGCTCTATTTACTCTAGCTATTTTAAACCTTTCTTAAAAGAATTTCGAATTATCTTTTATTTATTCTTATTTAAAATCTCTTATATCTTATATATATTTTTTTAGAAATACTAGAATTACTAAGCTTCTAGATCTAATTCTCTTTATTAGAGATTATATTATTTTTAATAACTAGCTAGTTTAAATTAAGAATAAGTTATAAGGAAATATTAATTTATATTTCTTAAAGAATCTTAAAATTATTTATATTTCTAATAAACTTACTAGTAATACTCTTGCCCTAACTAACTCTTATATAAATAAAAATAGTCCGAATTAGTATTATTAGTTCTTAAAGTTTTATTCCTATCTAAAAAAGCTATATTCTAATTCTAATAAGATATAGAATACTTGCTATAACTTTAGTAAGCTTTAAATATATTCTAGTTAAGTATTTCAGGAATTTTATTTTATTTTTTATAATTATTTATAAAAGGTAATATTAGTTTTTAAGATATTAAATATAAACTAAATAAAAAGCTTTTATTAAAGCTTTAGAAATTAGTATATATATATTATAATAATTCTTCTATTAATACTACTTGCTTTATTTAGTATTATATTACTAATAATTAGTAAATTAAGGCTATATATAAAAAGACTAAGAAATATAAAAAGGTAAGAGC